CAATATTCTAGGAGCTAATTAAGGAGACTATAATTACAAAATATTCTGCAATATTCTAGGAGCTAATTAAGGAGATTATAATTACAAAATATTCACAGAATAATTACTTGCTAACACGCCCCCGCAGTTGGAGCGGTAGGAGGCAGAACGCTCAAACTGGTACGGAACCGAGTGAAAAGATGACGCGGCAGGCCTTTAGTAAATATATCCGCATATTGATGTTCAGAAGGCACGTGCATGACCCGAACTTCGCCCAACTTAACCTTATCACGAACGAAATGAATATCAAGATCAACATGTTTGGTTCGTTGATGTTGGACGGGATTGCCGGAAAGGTAGATTGCCAAAATGTTATCACAGAAGACTAAAGTGGACTGCCGTAGTGGTACATGTAGTTCAAGCAATAAGTTGCGTAACCAACTAGTTTCGGCGACGGCATTAGCTACGCCTCTATATTCAGCCTCGGCGCTTGATCGGGAGATTGTAGCTTGACGTTTTGAAGACCAAGAGACGAGATTATTCCCCATAAAAACACAATATCCGGACGTACTACGACGGGAGTCGGGGCAACCTGCCCAATCGGCGTCGGAGTAGGCCGTGAGATGAACAGAACGAGAGGGTCTGATAGTGAGGCCATGATCAAGAGTGCCTTGAAGATAACGAATAATTCGTTTCAAAAATTGTAGATGCGGGGCACGGGGATCATGCATGAATAAGCAAACCTGTTGTACGGCGTAGGCTATGTCAGGGCGAGTGATGGTAAGATATTGAAGTGCGCCAGCCAAGCTACGGTAGTGAGAAGGATCATCAACAGGTGGTCCAGCATTGGCACTTAGCTTTGAACCAGGGTCCACGGGTGTTGTACTGGGTTTGCAGGAACCCATTTTTGCACGATTTATGATGTCTTTCGTATAAGTGTGCTGCGATAAGAAGAGGCCGTGGGAAGTGCGGCTGACATTAATACCCAAAAAGTGATGGAGATGGCCAAGATCAGTCATTGCAAATTCTCGTGAAAGGCTTGAGATGATGGAGCTGATAAGGGCAGCGCTTGAGGCGGTAAGAACAATGTCGTCGACATAGAGAAGTAAGCAGTGGCCGTAGGTGTCTTATAAATAAATAAAGAAGAGTCACACACGCTACTCTTGAAACCTCGAGAAATAATGAACGTGGCAAATCGGGTATGCCAGGCCCGAGGCGCTTGTTTTAGGCCATATAAGGACTTTCGCAGCTTACATACATGAGTGGGAGCAGATTTGTCGACGAAACCGGGTGGTTGGTGCATATACACTGTCTCTTCCAAGTCACCATGTAAAAAAGCATTTTTAACGTCCAATTGGTGTATGGGCCAAGACCGCGACACAGCTAAACTGAGCACCGTGCGAATTGTAGTAGGTTTGACAACTGGGCTAAATGTTTCATCACAATCAATCCCTACTTGCTGTGTTTTACCATTGACTACTAAGCGGGCCTTGTATCGCTGTAATGAAGTAGGTGCAGGGTGAGTAGGGTTGACGTGGGGAGAGGATTGGGGGGTATGTGGTGGTGGTGAGGGTGTAGGTGTTTGAGGGGAGGTGGGTTCGGTGTTGGGTGGTGGTTGGTCAGTGTTGGGTGGTGTTGGTTCGTTAGTGGAAGGTGTAAAGGAGTCAAATAAAAGGGGGTTGGGGTTGCTGTCGAGAAAGGCGTAGGAGTGTGGTGTGGAGGGGGACTTTTCTGCGAACGGGAAAGTGCTTTCATCGAAGATGACATGACGAGAGATGATGGTTTTGCCCGTGTGGAGGTCGAGGCAGCGATAGCCGCGTTGGTTAGGAGGGTACCCCAAAAAAACACATTGTTTAGCTCGAGGGGCAAGCTTGTGTGGTCGTGTAGCAGAAGTATTTGGGTAACAAGTGCAACCGAAGACACGAAGATGGTCATAAGAGGGGTGTTTGAGATAGAGAGCGGAAGTGGGAGTTAGGTAATTAAGAGTGGTGGTGGGGAGGATATTGTGGAGGTGAGTGGCGACGTGGAGAGCTTCGACCCAATATTGGGGAGGTACTGATGCGTGATTAAGGAGGACAAGGGTGATGTCATTGAGTCGTTGTATCATACGTTCGGATTTCCCGTTTTGTGAAGAAGTTTGTGGACATGAAAAACGAAAAACGAGGCCATGGTTTATAGCGAAGTTGTGAAAGGAATTATTATCGAACTCACGACCCAAATCACATTGAAAGGTTTTTATTTGACGATTAAATTGTGTCTTGACAAAATTATTGAATTGGAGAAATCGGTCAAACACTTGTGACTTATATTGAAGGGGATAAATCCAAACAAATTGAGTGAAATTGTCAATTAATACCATATAATATTTGTGACCATGTTTGCTTGGTATAGGGGACGTCCATAAGTCGCTGTGGACGATATCAAACGGAGCAATGGTTTGAGAATGAGAATCATAAAAAGGAAGCCGCTTGTGTTTGCTAATATGACAGGAAGAACAAGAATTGAAGTGATGAAATTTATTACACGCAATACTTTGACGACATTTTAAAAAAATGTAACACAGGAGCCCCGGGATGACCGAGACGGGAATGCCACACATCTGGACCGTGGACAAGGAAAGCTTGTGGTTGACTTTTGGAGGAACTGGATGTTGTCGAAGAGGGTAGGGTGGACACGGGGTAGAGCTCGCCATCACTGTCACTCCGTAAAATCATTTTCCCAGTCGGAATATCCTTCACAGAAAAGCCAAACGGGTCAAATTCCACACTAACATTGTTATCTTTCGTAAACTGGCGGACTGAAATTAAAATTTTAATTATGTTGGGCGTGTGAAGAACGTGGCGAAGGTGAAGGGAACGGGAGGTGGTAGGTATCATAGAGGTGCCTGATCCCGCAACTGGAATACTATTGCCATTTCCGACATAAATAGAACGAATATTACTCGTATTAAACGGGAAAGAAATCATACCTGGGTCAGCGGTCATATGAGAAGAAGCACCCGTATCCATGAACCACGGGTCAACTTGGGACTGAACTGAAAGAGCCTGAAACGCCTGACTGAGGTCCGTTGGTTGAGAGGCCTCATTATCAGTGACGAACGCCTGTCCTTGATGTCGTGGCTGCTGTCCACGAAACATTGGTCGAGTCTGGGGCATGGCGTGAGATGGCCACGGCTGTACCCAACCGGGGTAGGTAGGGTAAGGGCAAGGGGGTGGTGTCCATGGTGATGGCCAGGCCGCAGGTGGGGTCCACGAAGGCATGGGTTTTTGGGCCGATTGATTATTGGAACCATTATGATGAGAGTTATTTTGAGATCGATTGTTGGTGCGATTATAAGAACCATTATTATTGCGACGAGAAGAACGAGAATTACCAGAGGTGCCGGAGTTTTGTCCGTACTAACGGGGGGGACCAGTGGAGGTGGCCTTGGGAGGCTGGTCAGCCCACGAGTCCGCAGGAGCAGCAAGGGCAGTGGCAGAATCTTCAGTGCCAGATTTGCGATGGAGTTCGAGTTCCAGCATACTTCTTGCGGTCTCGAAATTAGGAGAGGTCTGATTGATGAAAGATGCAACGGTATCGTATTCAGAGGGCAGGCCACGTACCAACTGAATTACGAGGCGGCGGTCGATGACGGGGGCATCTACATCTTTAAGCATCCCGGCAATCTCGCGAAGGCGTTGACAATAGGCCTCGAGCGAGGGCATATTTCCCAGTCGAAGAGAGTTAAACTCCGATTCGAGGGCGGCGGCGCGAGCCCCTTTATTGTTGTTGAAGATATTTGCAACCCGAACCCAAGCCTCACGGGCAGTGGATTCGTCTTCAAGAACACGAGGAAGGAGGTCGTCGCTTAGTGTACCGTAAATCCATTGGAGCACGTGCGCATCGACTTCAGACCATGATTCGTAGGAATCATCCGTCTCGGCAGGGGAAGGAGTGCCATCGATGTGAGACACAACCTTGTACCCTCGGGCATGGAGTTTAAATAGGCGAACCCACGACGCATATGTGACCTTCGTGCCGTCGAGGACACGAACTTTATTCTGGATATTGGTTACGGTGAACACCGGATGCAAGCCGGGTTTGGGGGATGGTGTTTCGGTTGTCATGGAGGTTTGTGCGTGAGGCAGAGGAACGGTGTTACTTCGAAAAAATAACACAACGGCACAGGCAGGATGCGTGAATAGATCGAAATCCTATTCAAAGCTCTGATACCATGTCAGATTTTTGTAATCCCCTGAATTGGGTTGCTGATTCTCATTCATATATATACCATGAATACAAACAATCTTCCCTATAATTAGGAGATATGCCAAACTAATATGCAATATTCTAGGAGCTAATTAAGGAGACTATAATTACAAAATATTCTGCAATATTCTAGGAGCTAATTAAGGAGATTATAATTACAAAATATTCACAGAATAATTACTTGCTAACATTACTGATTGCAAGATCTTGAGCTCCCTTCATCAGAGATGACCTTCGATCAAGATTTGTTGAATCTTTTAAAGAGCAAGATTCCAGAATCTCCGCCATCGATTTAGTCATCTTCGCTCCCTTAGGGCCCATCGATCCCATGAGAGATCCATCACCATCTCCACTATCAACAGAAAAAGCATCTGAATTCTCCTCAGGATCAATCAGAGATGAAATTGAAGCTCCTAGTCCAGATCTGAGAATTTTTTTCCCCGCTGAATTTCTTCTTCTTTCCCATTGAGATCTCAGCAGATGCACAGGATAGCAGGGAAAGAATCGCCTGCTATCTTACGCTGTAACTGCTCCAACGGTACATCCTATATTATTTAAGAAGTGCACGATGCGCGTCCAGGGAATCGAACCCTGGTCAGTACCGTGGGAGGGTACTATGATACCACTACACCAGATGCGCAGAGACAACTAGTTGATAGTTGCTACTATTTTTTGTCATCATGTTGCTCAAAAATGTTTTTGCACTTTGCTCGTCCTTCTGCTAACGATGAACATGCTTTTCACTGATTTTATTTTATTATAATCGTTTCCAGAATTTATATTACAAACAAAAAAGTGGGAAGCTTCGTCTCGCAGCGAACCTGTCGGCATGAATCGAAACCCAAGCGGCCTGAGAGCATGCTCTCTACATCTGAAGGAGAAGAAAAGGAAACAAAGACATGATTCAGGTGTGATAATAGTACAGTATTCAACACTTTTAGTTATTGATCGCTAATCATGTTTATTAAGCGTAAGTTGACACCAACAGAATATGTTGACATTTAATTAAATGGCCATGTTATAAGCAAAGTATATTGCTTAATGAAAAAAAAATGTATCTGGATGCCATACCCTTCCACTAAAACAAATTAGGATAGCATCGAATGATAATGTATATCAATATATTGATGCGGAACCTACTACTTTTAGTTTTTTTCTTAGCCCCCTAATTACCTGCGCCAACTATTTGTTAAAATTTCTTCTCAAGTTGGATAGAATCGTGACATAGTTATGAACTAGGGTTAAATCGAAAGCCTAAATGAAGGTCAGAAAATGTTGGATAAATACAGTTCCTTTAGCTCTTACTGCAAGTTTGGGAGTTTAATAGCTATGCGCGCACAAATCCAGTTGGATATATATTTTGACGGGGATTTAGTGAGCGAAGAGATACATGCTACGTGAAATCGAGTGCGGTCCCCAACCAAGGCTATCGTAGTCTCTGGGGGTGCAGCTGGTTTGGATCCACGTCATACTACTTAGGCTAGTTTGAGAGACTCTTTCGATGGAGCTATTAAATAAGCTGGTTTGGATCCACGTCATACTACTTAGGCTAGTTTGAGAGACTCTTTCGATGGAGCTATTAAATATATAAAAATAAATTTCATTACCATGAGAAGCCATGCATATCTCTCTGAAGAAACCGTGAGCTAAAAAGTCCCTTTTTCAAGGGATGAGAATGACAGCTGGGCTTTGCACCCGAGTGATGTTGCTCGGAATCAATTACAAGCCTAGTCGAATTATTATGTTTTTGTGCGATCGCAGATTGAGATAGATTTGAGAAGGGAAAGTAAAAAATTTTGTAGGTTTTTGGGGTCGGGAAGAAAACTTGTGGAAAAGCTAACACGACACCAATTAATGTCAGCGGCGCTATTACGTATGGAGAGGATCTACGGAGAACAGTAGGATTCTGAAATAGGATTCGTATTTTTTATCATTACTAGTTAGATTGCACGTGCAATGCACGTGGTAAAATTTTTAATATTAATTTAAATTATAATTATATTTATGGAAAGATTTGGTATAAATTTAATAAATGTACACAATATATATGAACATAGGCTAAAAATTAAAAATGTTTGATTAATACATTTATATTTAAGGATCAATTATGCGATAGTAGAGTGGTTGTATCTACAAGATGATTGATCAATCAAATACAATTCTCAGATGTTTTTGGGAATCATTAGAAGACTGAGTGCAATGTGATCATCCATGCAAGTCATATGTTGTGTTATTATCCGTCGTTCCATCTCCCTTTGTAGGTTTTCTCGCTTGGAAGCAATTGCATCTATCTCATCAATGAATATGATTGATGGGGCAGTAAATTATCTTATAGTTTCTTCAGAAACACCTACAACAATCATGTGCAAAGTTAAAATAAATTGATATTAAAATTTATCAATGTCATTTAGTCATGAAGTAATTGACAGTAATCACATAGCACTTCCTCTTACAAGAGCAAATCAATTAAAATTAGCTAAATCCTAGACTGTTTCAATAGCTCAGAAATTAGATCAGATATCCCATGGAAGAAAATTAGTGTGATGCTGAAAACTATGAAAACTGTCACTAACCGTGTACGTGATATTTGTTAAAAAATTAGTTACAAGCTGTCACTAACCGTGGCGAGTACCTTAGTATGAATTGGTCGGCAAGATTGAACAGTTACAGGTTCTCCATGTATGAATTGGTCGGCAAGATTGAACAATTACAGGTCCCCCTTGTTCGATGGATGTAAACCAGTTGTTATACTCGAAACAGAAGAAAAAAGAAGGAAAATGGAAAAAAAAAATAGTTTGTGTATGCAGTGTTATATTCGATGAGACCTAGCTGTATAAGAAACTGGATTCTGGATCATTGAAAACTTTTAACATGCCTGATCAATTGCAAACATCACAGGAATATCTTTCACCAATGATAATTCCTTCCTCAAGCGAACCAAGATCCCAACTGAAGCATGAGAATAGGTAATGCCATTTTGAACAAGCTCAATAATGTGGATCCTTCAGGCATTGCCATGGAATCAACCCCTTTCATCATTCCAACACCGGCACTTTCTCCCAAGGGAATAGGCTCAAAAATTTAACAAGGTAATTGTTGTAAGCGAGACTTGTTGAATTCTAGAAAATCCTAAATGTCGACACCAATATTAGAAACAGCAGCTTAGAATCGGGGTTTTCTCTAGAAATATAGACCACAAAACAGGGCATTCATGATTCATATCACTATGCTATGTGGAAAAAGATGCCCAGATAAGAGAAAGAAAAAGCCAACTTATATGTTGAATATGAAAAGGAAAGAAAAGAATGCAACCGATACATCCACTTTTATCGACATTATAAAATTTTCATAGTAAAAATAAAATTTTGAATTAATACAACGTTAGAGTTCAGGAATCCTAACTGAAAAGTATCTAATTGTTACCTGATATGGTTATGATCCTCCTAAAGCCAACTCTACCTTCATCTAAATCTAATTCTAATTATTAAAAGCATTTCTATTAGCATCCATTGAAAGTCCATGCAACAAAGCCATAAATTGAGAGATGTCAAAATGCCAAGATTAATTACTCACTATGTTGTGTACCAAAGGTAGTCTGTTGCGTCTCTCGTCACATTTATTTGCTCCAATAATCCATTTGTTGTGAACGAGTTATCATCGTAGGAGTTTGTGTCTTTGTTGTAAGATATCCACGAAAACTCTCCAACGGAATCCATTTTCATCAGTGAGGTTTGGACTCCTACCTGTTTACATCAGTATAGTAAGTCACCAAGACTAATTTTTTTGAGAAAAATAATCTAATTGGTCATGAATGTAAGTACATAGAATGCACTAACTTAATTTGGGTTTTTTTTTTGTATATCTACCAAGTGAATCATGCATACCCCCCTCAGTAAAAAAATTCACATGCACACACAAAAACTTCGATATTTGCAAGAATACTCCTAATATCAAAGAAAATAGTTAACATTTTATCACTGTATCCCACAAATTAATTTGTTGATTTTTTCCACCCAAATTTGATTATTTAGAGGGTAGCTTTGCAAATAATTGGAAAAATGCGTGATTTATATATTAAAAAGTCAAATTTGTATTATACATCTATACAAGAGATTATTGAATTGTACGACGTTGAATCAAAGGTTTTGCTCACCCTTTCATTGTTGAAGACAGAGGTTTTACAGTCAGGAAGGATGCTAACAGACCAAGTAGGAAGATCATAGTGCATACCATTGAAAGCTACTTTAATTAAGTTTTGAGAATCACCTGAAAACGTGAGACTATACCAAGGAATGATGAAGAGTTAGTCTGTAAACCATTTATAAGGATGTTCTACAAAAAGAATATTTGTTTATAGCTAGGCTACATCTTGATTGCTTCCAAGTGATGTCCTAATAGGATCCCCAGAAGCCAAAGCAGGTTCACAGAACTTGATTGCTTTGTTCAAGTCTTTCAAATGGTCCGATTTTGGTTCTCTTAACAGACCTATGGAAAAAGAGTGTAAATTTTCAATAGTTGACAGAGAGCAAGTACAAAACGTGATTCCCGGATTAAAATGTTTTATGTCATAATTGGTGATATAGTAGTGTATATTAAACATTTATTTATTTGTTATTAATTTCTTAAGTGTTTGCACATTCTCTATTGTACTCATTAGTAGTGCAAGAAGATTACCTTGTTTAATGTTTAAAGTGTGTTAGTGTATGCCTAATAGGTGTGAACATTGAAATTATCTACCTATAAAGTGTATTTGGTAAGAGACATATCTTCTCTTAACTGCTATAATTTGCCTAATTTAAAAATTACTGCATAGTGACTCGAAGAGAAAGGTGTTAAGTGAGAAACTGGCAAACTAATCATACTTATTAAACAATGCATAAGATTAACTGACCATATTCATCAATTGGAGCATCATAATTATAGTTTGTAGCTATGAATGGACCACCAGCTGTCTTGCCAAAATTCGTTCCACCATGGTACTATAGCCAAAAAGCAAGTAAGTAAAAGTCACACTTGTAAAACATAATATTTCGATGAAACAAAAATAAATAGTACATTAAATCCTCACCATATAGTAGTTGAAATAAGATCCACCTTTCTGTATAAACTGTGCAATAGGAAAGGCCACATCTTCAACGTGTTGATAATGAACTGGACCTCCAAACCTTGTAAACCTGAAATGTATACAAAAGAAAACAAAAGGTTGTGAATTTGGCTAAAAAATAACCATATCTTCCTAATTAAACTAATGAAAAGTTGCTTAGAATTAAATCAATTACCATGCAGTCCAGACTTCAGTCCACATAGATGGTTTATATGGATTGTTTGGAGAGAAATCATCGACATAAAATCCATTCCACGTGTTAATCTATACGAATTCAAGAAAATGTTTTACTATTAAGAATGATTCAATTTGACTATTTAAAGAGGTGCAGTGAGATAGAATATAAGATTACTAAAGCATGTGCAGTGGGTCCTTGTAGAGAAGGCAAACACAATTATAAATTATTTAACTAAGCTGTCACTGAAAAGGATTCCAAAATGATTTAAAAAAGAGAAGAAGAAACTTACAATAGGATCAGGTGCATCATCTTCTTTGCACATAATCCATTGAATCCCAGTGTCAAGGTCGAGTTTCATTTTCGCTGCCCAACCTGCATAAGCCTTTGCTGGAGCCTCATGATCCCGTTGTAGATGCCTAAATTCATTCTCAATCTGCGAAAATATAGCAATAAATAATCTAATATCAATACAAGCAATATTAGTATTACTATAAATTTGTAGAGATAATGTTGAAAACTTGTAACCTGAGATACATAATAGTGTCACCCTGCCATTGGAATATATTTTCTGATTTCATCATTCCAACGAACTTCTGGGTGAAGTTCTGCATTTCCTACTGTAAAAGGGACAAGATCAAAATATATTCCTATGTGATTATAAAATTTTATATTAGCTAAATTTTGGGTTATTTCTGTACCTTGAAAGGTTCGTTATCAGTTCTGAAACTGATACCAGGCACATATTTGAGGCAAACATGGAATCCCGTATACATTACAATAAACCATAAACATAATTAAACATTAATATTTAAATTAATCAATCAATCCATAGCAAATTTTCTCATTACCCAAAATTCCATTCAGCACAAACATAAGGGCCAATGCGCAGATTGACATATAGGCCATCCTTCTGTACTAACTTGATAAACTTAACCAAGTCATACATGTCCTCAAAATAATACTGCACACCAAAAGAAAGTCATCGATAAATCATCAAAAGTCACCAAAAATAAAAAGCTAAAGTTCTAGTATTTTACCTGGCCTTGGACAGGCTCATGCCCATTCCAGAAAACATAGGTTTGAATCTCATTCAAGTCCCCATCTTTAGCCTTTCGAATGAGATCTGGCCACATCTGAACAATACCCAAATTAAAAAAAAAGAACCAAAAATATTTCAGTCCGACTTTGAGTTTGATTTGGTACCCAACACACTCCTCCTGATTCGTTTGCCCCTCGTATGCCTGCTTTTGCTCTTGCTACGGTCATCACTAATATCGCCCCTGGATTCCCTGTTGTTGCTTGTGATGATGAAACAATGGTCATTGATGTTGAGTGGGTGCAGAAGAAAGAGAAGATTGGACAACGAATACCCTCAGCAAGCTAGAAGAAAGTCCTGACAATAAGCATATTTTTTACAAGTTTAACTTGTTATGCTCCTGACAGCATGTCATAAGTTCCTCAATCTATATCTATAAATAAAGTGAACTGCATCTATTGTAAATTAAACACTGTAAACCAAAACATGTGTGTATTGTAACTATAACTTCAGTTAGATTTGAATGAAAAGCAGGTATATAACAAGAAAAACAACAATGACAACAATTAGTAGACAAATAAATCAAATCCAAGTCACAAAACAGAGGCTAGACACAACAAATTAGTCTTTATGTTTTTTTGGGAGAAGATGCTATCAAGTAAAATATCTCTAGACACTCAATTAGGTGGAAAAAGAATCTATCAGAAGATTCATGATAGGGAGTGGTCAATAAAACTCTTCTCATGAGACATCAGATTCTCATATACAATCATTAACATGAATGTGTAATTTTGCTATGTATATAACTCATGATGAAAGAGGGGGCAACAAATCTCTTAAGAGTCGCAGGAGTGAGTGGAAATTTTTCTGATTATTCAATCATACAATTGCCAGGGAACGTCCAAATGCGTGCAAACCAAACTGAATGAATTTCATGACTCAAATGCATTAGTCCATAGTCTTTATTTATCTCGTGTGATACCAATAATAGCTTATGATTTAAGAACAAAACTCATATGCAAAGTACAATAATTATGTTAACAAATATAATTAATCAGGCAGCTGACTCTTAACTGTCTTCTAGTCAACAAATATGACGGATGTCAAACATAGTATCTTTAGGGACATTGTAGCATTTTCAGCGTACTATATAATTATCCAACCATATGTGGATTTTTCAAATATCTATAGAATTTGGAAACATGTATATTTTTTTAGTACGTAAAATCATAGTTTGGTAGCAGGTATCAATCTGTCATATTTGATCCATATACGATAGAATTTAACTATCGAAACATGTCCAAGAAAAAGGGTTGTGCCATCTATTAATTTCAATAATGTTTATGAATATAATCACATCTACTCATGATCACAATAGCAACTCAATGTGCCTTTTTGTTATTTTCCAAGAAACAAGGTAATCATAATCCATGTTGATTACTTTTATTGAAATTTTATTAAGCAAAAGAAAATTACAGGGACGCAATCTTGTTAATTATGCAGCACTTTCAATATAATGAACTTATTTTGTAGAATGGAATGTGGCTTGGACAACAACCTTATTTCTCGAAGAATTGACCTCCTCTGTAGCTGCACAAACGAAGAAGAAGGAAAAAACTGTAAGTGCACCAAGTATAGACTTCTGCTCATGCGGATCACACCACAGATGTCCTCACAACCTATAATATTTGACTACTCAGGAGAGGGACAAACTACTTGATAATTTGTTTGTAAAAACTTTGTTCAAATATCGGATTATCTTCACCAATGATTTTTTCAAAGGTATTGAATCCTAAATTGATCACATGATTTATTCAAAGGTATTGAATCCTAAATTGATCATCGTCCACGAAAAAATGTTACCTTTGTCCATTGTCGAAGAAATGAACTTAACGTGCATAAGTATAATGTGAACCATGTTAAAACAGTGAGAGAGATTCCTTCAATACACGGCGTTGGTAAATGAAGAACACTATCAACGTGCAATTCTTCATGTAAGCAACACTTAGCAGAGGTGTATAATAAGTTATTAAATAAAAGTAATTTTCTCAATTCCCCACTTCAACCAAAAAAAAAGTAAGTTTTTCCAGATGCTCATCTCACTTCCATACAACTTTAGCTTATCCCTACATGTTAGCTAACAAAAACTGGCAAAACATAATACTGTTCCCTAAGAGTCCAAGACCATATATGGTTCTCACGACTTTACTCTCAAATATGGAGGAAATGTGTCAAGTGATTAGAATGTGTTCATTTAGCAAAAATAATTTTCATACTGTACTACCTGAGTGACTCTGTCAACAATGCAATCATCAGCATAAGTTCCTTTATGGATGCATGGTAGCCGGTCAAACCTAGGATCCTTGGCAATCCTGTAACAAACCAATGAATAACTCAGTCATAGCAAAAGGAAATATATGCACTTGCGGAAATGATACTAAGGACCAATGCAATATGAAAAGGGCAACACCAATAGCTTCAATTAGAAAACTGCATAACCACAGCCACAAGTACCATGATAACAAATCATCTTTGAAATCAAAATCTTGGTTAAAGGAGACTGAAAGAAACCTTAAAGCTACCCGATATTTCTGTCCCAATTTTTCAAGCTCAGCCATGACACAGTCCGTGATACAGGGAGTGGTGCCTAAATAAGCCAATGACAGTAAGATTGGCGTCAGCAATTAATTATTAATAAGACATAAAGCCAAGCAAAGCAAAGCAAAATGAAGGTAAGGAACAAGTATGGTAATAAAATACAAACTGAGTTTATCTTCCAACTCACATTTTGCATACAGACAGTCCATCATTCCTTTCTCCAGATCCAACTACACGTAAAGTCAGATCCCTTGAGTAATTAGTAATCACATATTTTAAGATTTAATAGAGTAATCAAATACTGGCAATAATATCAAATATCTTTGGAGGAAGTGATTATTTCTAAACTTTATGCACACCGCCCCTGAAAAATTGTTTACTTTGTTAATAAACTTCAGTTGTTTATCGATGAACATACCTAAAGGCATGCATATCTATATCGTAGAGGAGCATTCTGCCGAACTAATCAATGATCATGCATATCTATACCTCCAAAGATAAACAATAGCATTATCAAGTTTGATTTTTAATTTGTTCAACTATATTATCAAGTTTCCTTTCATCTCATTCCAGTTGATGTTTCATTACTTATTAGCTTTATCATACGCAATGATAATAGCAAAACATTGATACTTCTACTTTGCTCTTTTTTATGAATTGCTGTTATCCATTTATTAGGATACTAAGGACCAATGCAATATGACAAGGGCAACACCAATAGCTTTAATTAGAAAACTGCATAACCACAGCCACAAGTACCATGATAACAAATCATCTTTGAAATCAAAATCTTGGTTAAAGGAGACTGAAAGAAACCTTAAAGCTACCCGATATTTCTGTCCCAATTTTTCAAGCTCAGCCATGACACAGTCCGTGATACAGGGAGTGGTGCCTAAATAAGCCAATGACAGTAAGATTGGCGTCAGCAATTAATTATTAATAAGACATAAAGCCAAGCAAAGCAAAGCAAAATGAAGGTAAGGAACAAGTATGGTAATAAAATACAAACTGAGTTTATCTTCCAACTCACATTTTGCATACAGACAGTCCATCATTCCTTTCTCCAGATCCAACTACACGTAAAGTCAGATCCCTTGAGTAATTAGTAATCACATATTTTAAGATTTAATAGAGTAATCAAATACTGGCAATAATATCAAGTGTTACACCAAAGAAGTGAGCACTCTGCTTCTCAACCTGAATTACAAAACAATGATCAAAGACAAGCAAGAAAACCAAAGAAGCATTCCAAAATAATGATAAAGTACCTTTCCACTGAAAGATGTACCCAGAGGAAGAGGTCTAATTGTGACGGTTCCATTTAGAGCTTCTTCAAGAACATTGGCAGATATAGTTGTCTTTATTGGAACACCAAGCTTACTGAAGATGTCAATGAATCATTTTGGTATCAGTAAACTTCCAGAACAATAAAGCATATGATTGTTAGATTAACTTCAAAAGTCACCTGAATAATGTTGTGAACATTGTATTGACAGTACCCAGGTTAGACAAGTCAATCTCCATGTCCATGCCTTCGCTTTCTATAGCCTAGCACAAAAAGACATTATGACAGGCATGCTATAGTATTTTGGGCAGGTAGAAAAAACTCACACAATACAAGTGAACAGAACATATCAAATAACCACTTGTGTCAAATCTCCTGCTGACACTAACTTAAGTGTTGGAAAATATATATACAGAAATCATTGTGCAACTTAGGCATAGTTAACGAGCTGAGTGTTAGGTGATGTGTGATCACTAATATGTTTATCTCAGGATTCTTCATTAGCTAACCAACCCATTTCTTTACGTATCATGCTCCACAGCTCCCGACAACCTATACTCCTTTAGATTATATCTGATGAACAAATATGAGCAAGCCCTAATTCGGACAATCCTTGACCTATTGTTGAATTAGAACAAAATGAAATGATGGCTAATTAGAACAAAATGAAATTGACCTATTGTTGAATTGAGCAGAAAACATAGGAAAAATTAAGTAATACCTTCTTCAATGAAATTCCTTACTGATTCTACCCGATGCAAAAATTCTACCCGATCTTAAGCCTTCAATTTGAAAAGATCGTAGGACGGCGTAACGTAAGAACGGAGAATGGGCTGAGAGGAAGGGTAACGGATGAACTGGTAAATTGAATTCATCTCTAAAAGTTGTTGGAGGTAATGGAAGATCAGAGGAGGAGGAGGAGGAGGAATTGAAAGGAGTAAAGTTTGGTAATTAAAATGACCGATGAATTGAAAGGACCGATGAATTGAAAGGAGGAAAATATGGGTAACAGATGAAAGAGTATCTTGGGGAGGCTATTTTGGGATATGTTTGGTAATTAAATTTGGGGTAAGGCTATTTTGGGGAGATGAAAGTTTTTCATGAACTCCCTCTTTTAAAGGGTAGATAGATGTGTGTGTGTGCGCGCGCGCGCGCGCGCGCGTGTTGTACACGAGAATAATGTGCATGCTTAGTGAAGTAGTTTATTCTCATTCACTTTATTAGGGGAGGGCACAATCACGTGGGTGCACATGAGTTTGAATGAGTGGATGAGAAGTGGCCGCTTTATTACTAAGCGTACCCGTAATTATCTCTCTCTCTCTCTATATATATATATACACACACACTTGCTATTTTAAAAAAAGAAGACAATGGATATCCTTAACAGGTGAATAAGACATTTATTTTAGAAATTATCATATGTTGCTCATTCACTTTATTAGGGGAGGGCACAATCACGTGGGTGCACATGAGTTTGAATGAGTGGATGAGAAGTGACCGCTTTATTACTAAGCGTACCCGTAATTATCTCTCTCTCTCTCTATATATATATATATATATACACACACACTTGCTATTTTTAAAAAAGAAGACAATGGATATCCTTAACAGGTGAATAAGACATTTATTTTAGAAATTATCATATGTTGCTAAGTTGCTTCAAAACCTAATGGAGCAAAACTGATAGTATATCTCCTCATGCTTGCATTGCATTTCTATAGAAGTTTCTTCTTACTTTTGATGCTTCATTGGAAACAAAATTAGTAATATAGATAAGAACTTGACATATTGGTCATATCTTGTGCTTGTCTAGGTTGCATGGATACAGGTGGATGTGCAGTCACGAATACAAACACGAGACACAACAAATATGTAAAAGGTAGGATACATGGACATAACTATATGTATAATTATTTTAAATTAGATTAAATATTGAATTACTTATAACATTTGTATGTTTCTTATCATCTATAAGAATAAAGTTAAATCAAACTAATAATCAAGGATTAATAACAAAAGTTATTTTAATAATGATTTTAAAAAATAGTTATTCAAATCAAACTGCTAATTGCAACTTAAATAAAATATCTGCTTAATAAAAGTAATAGAATATTTAAAAATAACCGCAATTCAAAAAATAAAATAAAATAAAATAATAAATAAATAAATAAAAATAAAAAATAAAAATAAAAATATAAAAGTAAAAAAATTCAGCATGCATGTATAGAGATTTTTCTTTTAAAAAAAATCACAGCTTAAACCGCATGTGTTCACGGGTAATCTGCGTATGGCACACGTGTTGAACACGAATACACGACCCAAAGTTAAAGTTGTCGAGTTTATATCGATTTAGAAAACATCATTGATATACCATATGATTAATCTATCAAATAAGTGAGAAATTTTGAGGTGATAGCAGTCACCAAAATAGCTTGGGGGTTATCCTCTCTATATCACTTCCCAAAACTCGTCCGTATCTTGGACAAATCCCATTTGAAAAAGTCTAGTATTTTAAGCAACTAGGTTGGATGTGGTCAAGTATTTATTTTATAAATAAGAGGCAATCCTATTCTTCTGAGCTACACGACAAATTTTTTTTATAGAGTGCAATACTAATCATAGAAGTGTAAATAAAATTTAAATTACAATATTGAACCTTGGGCCAATTTCTATTCAAGTCAGAGATAATGATGTCAGATACAAATCTATATGTAAACTGACCCTTTTCTTATATACTTTCATTTAATAAGTTCTGGAATAAGTATCTATAAATCAAATTTGAAACAATTTAATAACCCTTTTCTTATGGAGTATCATTTGATAAGCTCCAGGAGAATTATCTGGATCAATGATAATATTAGCTATGGAAAGATTTATCCAAACTCACACTTTTAAAGGGGATAAAGGGACTAGGTTTTATACACGTGCAATGCACGTGGTTAGATAAAATGATTAATTATTTTTGGCTTATTTCCTAACTAAATTTTGTTCCTCGGTTCCGCTTTAATAGTTTGTGCTTACTTTTGTCTCCAAACTTTAACATTGCGATTATTTGTTTTCTTTGATGTTTGTTTTAAATGGGTCATACATAATTTAAATTTTCATGTTGATATTTAAATTGATAGAAAACAAATATAGTCTGAAGCTAGTTTGAATTTTCATATTATTTGGACTGACATAAAACCAAGCTTTACTTGAGAAAGTACAGTGTAGCAAAGTAAAAAAAATATTAAAACAGTGTTATACAAGAAAGATGAATATTTAAAACCAATATGACAAGATAATTGATTAAAAGTATGTTAAAACGATACAAAAGAGAATATAAAATTTATTCTTAATCATTAATAGACTTCATAAAAATTATAAACTAAATATTAATGTTAATTCTAGTATACTTTTATATAATAAAAGCATCCTTATAAGCATATATAAGTACCGAAAAAGTTCATGAAACTCCCTTCTAAATATTCCTAATTTCACTCAAAACAAATAAAATATTCTATAAAAAAATTCAGAAAATATTGTCTTTTATTTCTTCTATTTTTTTATTGAGCTAAGATCAATCCTTCTTCACCTTTAAAACAGTGTTATACAAGAAAGGTGAATATTTAAAACCAATATGAAATTTATGAATACTTACTAATTTTTTTGTATCTTCCATGGAGAATTCTTCTTTGGTTGAGATAAAGTTGTTAAATTATTATTCAATGGAACTCAGTCGATGCTTTTTTTGATTTATTTCTGTCACTTTCTCATTTCCAATGGAAACAACTTGATTCTTTGAATGACATCTCTGAACATTCTGATAGTTTCTCCATATGCAATTCATTGTATTATTTTACCCTATAAATATTATTAACATCAGAGATTAATGTTTCTAGTTTGAATTTTTATATTATTTGGACTGACATAAAACTAAGCTTTACTTTAGAAAGTACAGTGTTGCAAAAGTAAAAAATATTGAAACAGTGTTATACAAGAAAGGTGAATATTTAAAACCAATAAGGCAAGATGATTGATTAAAAGTATGTTAAAACGATACAAAAGATAATATAAAATTTGTTCTTAATCATTAATAGACTTCATAAAAATTATAAACTAAATATTAATGCTAATTCTAGTATAATATAATAAAATCATCCTTATAAGCATATAAAAGTACTGAAAAAAGTTCATGAAACTCCCTTATAAATATTCCTAATTTCACTCAAAACAAATAAAATATTCTATAAAAAATTCATAAAATATTGTCTTTTATTTCTTCTATTTTTTTATTGAGATAAGATATTTTATTTTATTTCTTCTATTTTTTATTGAGCTAAGATCAATCCTTCTTTACCTTTATCTTTTTTCTGGGTAATTCTAGAATAGTATCTTCATCATCTACATCGGTTGCGACTTCAGATTGGAATTGTATTTTTTGCATTGTTATCTTTCCTAGGCTCGTTATTTTTTTATCTTCTAGTTTAACTTCATAAAGAAGTCGAATGTATTTCTAATATTCAACACAAACTTCTTGAAATACAGACTATGATTTTTGTCCTATTTCAATGAGAATAAATTTTAATTTCATATATATATATATATATATATATATATATATATATATTCCTAATTTATTACTTAAATAAGATTAGGAGTTACCTCTTTTTCCTCTACAATGAATTCTTTTGATTTGCATCCAATAAAAGTTTCTATTATGTACCTTTGCTCTATCCCTGTCATTTTTCACAAAGTTCTTAACTAAATACCTTTATTTTTCATTACCAATTTGCCTTAGATTATAATATTAATATTTAATTTTTTTAGTATTTGAATAACAAAATATGAAATTTATGAATACTTACTATTTTTTTGTATCTTCCATGGAGAATTCTTCTTTGGTTGAGATAAAGTTGTTAAATTATTATTCAATGGAACCCAGTCGGTGCTTTTTTGATTTATTTCTGTCACTTTCTCATTTCCAATGGAAACAACTTGATTCTTTGAGTGACATCTCTGAACATTCTGATAGTTTCTCCATATGTAATTCATTGTATTATTTTACCCTATAAATATTATTAACATCAGAGATTAATGTTTCTAAATTAAAATCAATCGATGCTAAGATATTATATTATAGTCTTTTATTATTTTTATGGATTTAAACATCTATCAATTAATGTATTTTTGCTGCTCTAACTTATTAGTAAAATTACATGCAGTTACTTTGATTTATATAGTGATAGTAATTTTAAAGTTGTCATATATTTTTTTAAAATTTCTATTCCTCAACCGAATATTTTTAATCAATTCTTGCTTTTGTTTACTGACATCAACTTAGACTACTTTTAGATGCTGAAAAGAGATAGTAAACCATAATATA